TCTGCTGATATGTAAGCCTGAACAGACTACTGCTCACTCTCCCAAACTTCCTTGTTCTGCAGATATAAAGTGAACAAGCCATTTTATGTAGAGATTTTTAGAGTAGAACAATAGTTCAACAGGCAGTTCAGCGTTAGCTAAAGAAAAGGCATTAGTATAAGTGTGTGTGTACGTGTGCATCCATGTGCGTGCATATTTTCACTAACTTTGGATGGCCTTTTCCTTGGTGGGGCAATCTTCTTCTGTTTGCCTAACACTCCCTCTCTTTAATGTGTTTTTCTTTTATATTTCCTAAGTTCTCTCTTTTTTTTAACTTTATTCTCCTTGAGTCATTTTGCATGTTCGCTTTTCTCTTCATGTCAATAAATTGGTCCCACACACCCTCAGCCATGCCTCATCCGCACAAAAAGAGACTCACATATTAGCCCCTTCTTATGGGGCTATTTTTATGCCCATTTTCACACTTGTATCCAGCAGCTATTCAGCCAGTGTTGTTCAGTAAATCAGATCCTTTTCGCTGCTGCCTGCTCTCCAGGAAATGCATAGGTTGCTCTTTTTGGTATAGAGTTATTCTACTGTTATTGAGACCTGTTATATTCACTCATCTGAACATTCCCAAATGCTAAGTAGGAATACTTCCAGCCTATAGTAGGTTAACCATGAGCACTATAAAAATCCCAAATAATGTGACAGATGAACCTCAATAAATCAGGATGAATGGTCATCTTTATCCTTTAATTAAGTTTGGGTGAAAGCTTAAAATCTCTCTGAATTCTGTCACCATTACCTCTCAGATATTCTTTTTGGCACATACATGGCAACAATCATGATCAAGTATTAGGAGGTGTTTTAGTAACGTTAAGGAGGAAATTGCTGTAGAAGAGATGAACATTGCATTACTCTTCAGGCTGCCCATTTCACCCATTATTATGTGGGAAGAAATCTGGAGGGCAAAAGTCAGACCAATTTAGAATGGGAATCATGCCACTCAAACAGATGGGATGATTCTAGATAGCCAAGAGATCATGTATATGCATCAGCGAGGGGTGCTCAAGGCATGATTCCCAGCTGGGAATCTGAAACTGCTGTCCATTATCAAGCTGCCTGTGGCAATTAGCCATTGCTAATCCCCAAACTTAAATTGTAAAAATAAAAATTGTTCCCACAGATATACAATAGAATTCTTTGAGCCTGGTGAATTGAACATGCTGGCCTAGAACTGAGAGTGAGGCACTTGCTGCACCTACAGAGCTACCATCTTGCTGTTAAATTACCAAAGGGGACATTACCAGGGTGACAAGAGAGAGATGGACATGGCTTACTGACTGGTGGATGTGTACAAATGTTCAGCATTATCACTGAATATTGGGCCAAAAGAAGCTTCAATTTAGGATTTAAATTAGGATGTATTAAACACAAAGGATTAAGCAGTAGAATCCGAAAGATGTCTCCCTAGTTTTTCTGCTTCTCTCATTGCCTCCCATTTCTGTGAATAAGGCTCATTTCAAAGTGATCACAGAGGTGACAATATAGAGCTGGCTCACTCATAAATTCCCAGTGTGCATGAGACGTTGATTTTATTGTTTATGTAACATATTTTTACTCCTGTTTGCAGTCCAGGACTGATATAGCTGTGGAAGAACAAGCTCCATTCTAGCTCCATTCTATTCCACCTCAGCACCAGGAAATTGTCAGCTCAGTCTGTATTACCACACTATACACTTGCTTATTATGAACAGGTCTAGATGCCTTCTGGACTTCTGCATCAGCTTCAAACCACTGACTTCTGTTAAGCTGGCAGTCTCTGATTGTAAGCTTCTGAGGGAAGGACGCATTTACTACGTGTTTGTAATAAGACCCGCGCATATACTGATTATGTTACACTAGTAACAACCACTAACAATAATAATCACGAGCTTGTTTTCCAGATTAATTGTGCAGCTGTAGCAGTTAAAGAAGTCATCTTTTGGTCTGTAAACTGAACAAAATGTGGGAACTAGGGAGAGGTTGTGGGTAGAAACAACAATTCACCAGTGTGTGAACTGAGGTTGAAATAAAGGCTTGTCTACATGGGGAAGTACAAGGTAGGGTGTGAATTTACTAGCTATTGAACCCTAATTCTCTAGGCAGACCCTATTTAGTGTGATGGTAGCACTTTTAGAGTAAGCTGTCTCACACAAAAGCATACAACATCCTAGCTCATTGCGCAATATCTTTTGTGTTGAAAGCCCAAAGCTGGTAATTATTCAGCTGTTTGTTCAGATTTTTTTCTCACCTTAAGCCCTGATTGTATCTATCCATAACCTCTGTAAAGTCTCTATCACTGACAGATGGAGGTGTACAACTTAAGAACTAAATAACTCAATTAACAATTGTCTGTGGACAAACTAGTTTTCCTTCAAGGAGAAACAGGGTAATTGTAGGCAGGGGTATCCAGGAAAGAGGACATTTCCTGACAGCATGTAGGTTGCATATACCAATTTAGCATGCTTTGTTGAGTCACATGTAGGAGTGGTGATATCTCCTGTGATTTTTAAAAAAATCTCACCGTATTTAGTGTTTTCCTTAAGGCCCTAGCTCCTGGCAGTTACCAGTAATTCTATCAGCTTTAATTAAGCAGCTTTCAGCTCTCGCAAGGGCCCATAAAAGCTTGACGTCCACAGGACTCTGCCAGAACAGGTCTGGGGCCAATGAAAGTTTTAAAAAAAGCACCCAAGTCATGTTATTTGCAAAATCTGTCTCAGGATGTTTTGGGAGAGGGGGGAACTTGACTCCTCAGGTTGGCAAGGTTGTGACTAGCAGTGCTGTTAGCAGCATGGGAGGTTTGGAGATTGTCATAGGCAGGAGGAATCTGTGGGTGGCATTCACTAGTTACTAGTGCACTTCTACCCCCCTTTGATTCCTGCTCCAGCTGAAGTTTAAAACCAACTGCCTGGAAGCAGCACTTCTAGTCAGACAGTGCTGAGGAAGCCAACTGACTTTGTGACTCATTATCGTCTACCTGACCCCTTCTAAACGCTCTGTTCCATAGGGGTTACCAACCTTCTCTCCTTTTTAATAGTCTTGGTGTTCCACAAGTCAAGCTAGCCTTTGTTCTGCCATTCTGCTGCCTGTTTGCTGCTTCTGGTAATGAAGCTCCTATTTCACAGCCCTGCAAATGGTTGGTCGTTCATTCCACTGAAGTTCTATTTGCTTTTTGCTTCAATTTTAAACTAATACAGCCCTAGGCCCCTGGAGTACTAGCAAAGCTTGTAGCTTAGTTTTAACTGGAGAAAAATGTTGTGTTGCAGGTGGCGATAGCCCTTAACCCCCTGCACCCCTGCTTGTCAAAGGTTCTCGACCTTTTTGGACTTGAGCAGTACGCTACATTTCCCTACGATGACGTAGCTCATTGCTACATCGCTGTACAGTGTGCTACGGTAACATAGAGGTAACATGGGTCTACACCTTATCGGCAGCTACGTTGCTGTAGTGGCATGCTCCCATTTTAATATGTTGCTATGGCGATATAGCTGCCACATCTAACCATATGCCATGTGCATGGTGTCACAACCCAAAGTTGTGGATTTTTTAATTGCGTATGCTTCGGCACCGCTAAATTATGTTCCCGCCGAATTGGAGCTCTTTTGCACGATGGAGTGTTCTGTTGTAATGGAGAACCCACGTGCAGAAAAGTGTTTCCCGCCGTTCTGTAGCCTTCTTTGCATTGTGCATGACTTTTGCATTTAGTGATGCACGCTGCAAAGGAGTTTTCCCGCCATTTGTATTGAGATTTGAGCCACATTATTGGCCGGTCTTAATTTAGGCACACGTGGCGGCTAGCTATTGGCTTGCTAGCCGTACAAAAGGCTTGGGTGGTTTCCGCCCAAGTTGGAGAGAAAGACGGAGAGATGGATCTCAAAGCGCTGTGGGTCCTTTTGAACCCAGTGCATCTTTCTTAAGGCGGCGATAGAGGCTCCAATTGCCGAACTCCCGGAGCCTAGCAAACTCCAGGGCATCACTTACCGACGGCCTCTAGCCTCTCCCCGTCACCGATCGCAGCCCAGACGAATCCCTACCCTAGAACCCAGTTATCGACACCACGGAGTCT